CAGTGTGCTCCCTGTTTCAGTTGGGCTTCCCTCCACTCCTGGGGTAAGTATTCCCTGTTCAAGTTTACCAGGGCTTTTCTCTCCCCCCCCCCCTTCCTTTTACAGGCACGTTTACATGAGATGCCATAATGTGTGGTAGCCTATTTTAATGCACATTAGCATATTACAGGAAAAACTGCTAATGTGCAATAGAAATTAGTCTACTGCACAGTAAGCATCACAGAAGAACCATGTAGTATCTCATATAAGAGGTACTAAACTTAATGTGCAGTAGCAAAGGTGCATTAATGAATATGTAGACATACCTTTTAAGTATAAGAATGACAAAAATGTTTTTGTTCTTTTTGTCTCCTCTTGTTCTTAATTTTTTTTTGTTGGAGGTTTTTCCTCTGGCATCTTTAAATCCATAACAGTGGATGCCAGCACAAGCATTGACTTAGGGGATAGACCACTGTAGAGATACCCAGTTCAATGCTCTTCCTCTATAGCATCCACTTCTGCCACTGTCAGAGACAGGATCTCAAGCTAGATGGATCATTGGTCTGACTCAGTACAGTGCCTCTTATTTTCACTTTTATATCCCTGTCATGCTCTCTCCCTCTCACCAATTCTGTATAGTTTATTTCCTTTGGTTTCCTCTCTGAATGGAACTTATGTCAAATGGAATTTCTTAAGCATAGCCAGAATAATCCATCACCTTTTTTTTTTGGTAAGTAAAAATCCTTCATGTTACCAAGCTCCTGTAAGCACAGTCGCTTAAAATAAGCTATTAGATAACAACCTGTAACTCTACTGCATGAAATAATTGTCAGTTAATGAGTACCATAGGGTGGCCATCATAGAGGACAGTCTGGTTGTCCTCTGTCCTCTACTGATATAAAACTGGATGCCTTTATGTCCAGTTTCTCTTGAAGAGAAAAATAGAGGACATAAAGGCGTTGGGTTTCGTATCAAAAGAGGACCATTAGTTTACTGCCAGTGTAAATTCCATTGTTGAATAAATGTTATTATAAATCCTAAAGGATTTATAATCCTGAATGTGCTACAGTGGCTGGAATTAATGCACAATATGCCGCCAACACATGCAAACACCAACACCATTAAAATGGTACAAAAGCATTTAACCTGCTTTAAAGTGTCATGCACACGTGCCCCTTGCTTCATCTACACACCCCCCTAGGGTTGCAAGAGACCTCAGGGGTCACCTAGTCTGACACATTTATTTTGATTTACAAAATACATTAAATATCCCTTTAATTTTACAGTATTGTTGCCACCAATATCTATGATACTGTATGAATATTCAAGGTTAGTTATAGGATCATAACCCAGACAGGACTAGGAATGAGAACCAGGAGACCGGGATTCTGTTCCCAGTTCCAGCACTGCACTGTTCTAGGACCAAGGACACTGAACCAGTCTGTACCCCTGTGTGACTCCCTACATTTTCATAATGTTTTATTTAGAGATTGAGCCAGGAAGCTTTTCTTCAAAATGTATTTCTGCCTTGCAAAATGGGTTCTTTGGGCACTAATGTGATAGAAATAAATAAATAAAAGCTAGAATGGTAAATTCAGTTCCCTGTGCCCAGCAAATGCATTTTTGGTGGCACTGAAATGCCATGTAAAAATGCTATTCCAGACCAAATCCTATAGAGCACCCTGATGACTTTGACAATGCATTACAGAAAATGACCTTTGCTACGAAATCCAGCCAACTCACCTTGACACTCCAGCTCACAAATCTGTGTTGACTGTCTGCACATTTATGGTGGAGCGAATGCTCTGTGAGGACGGTCCCTGCTTGTACCTGGCTTGCTCTATCCAGGCCTCCCGATAGGGCAAGATCACGGCTGGCAGCACATTCTCCTGTGTCCGTGGCATTTTCTGGCTCATACAGAGTAAGGACTTGAGCTCTGAACGGAAGCTCTCATTCAGCCAGCAGTAAATGAAGGGGTTGTAGCAGGTGCTGCTCATGGCAAACCAATGCAGAGTAAAATAGAGTGAGTTTTTGGTCTTGATGCCTAGGCTGGAGATAAGCACCACATAGCAGTTGAGAGGGAACCAGCAGACAGCAAAGACTACCACCACCAGCATCAACATTTTGATGCTCTTCTTTTTGTTCTTGTGGTGGGTGATGTACTGCTGTGTGGTGATGTCCCCAATGGCATTGCGCAGCCATAACTTCTTGGCTAGGCGTGTGTAGGTGATGGTGATGATAAGCAGAGGCAGGAGGTAGAGCAGGAGGAAAGTAGCAAGGTCCAGGTATTTCCAAACCAGCTCTGCAGGCTCAGGAAAATCAGGGAGACACAAGCTCCTGATGGTAGCTTCCCTTTGAAAACAAAAAAAGCATTTTCATAGTACATAGCTGTGAAAAACTCCTACATTTCCCAAACCACCTTGGGACTTGCATATAAACAGGCACTGCTGTACTCACAGCATCACAGGGTTGTGTATGTAGGGCTAGTACCAGAGCTTCCATCAACCTCAATTTTGTTATACTTGCTTACATGAGATGGATCCTACACCTATCAAAAGGGGAAAAAAGAGCCCCTTATGGCCTGTTTTTATAAACAGGTAGGATATGAAAGGTTGGCTTAAGTAAATCACTGTAAAAACAGAAGAGTTCCTGAGAGTCATGGGGGACGTTGAGAAGAGTAGTAGAATGAAGCCCCACTTGGGCATTCTGAAGCACTATAGAAACTGTATCCATCACTTGTCCCCTGCCGTCTACACACAGCAGGAGCAAAACCTCACTCCCTCAAAATCTGATGCAGAAGGATGGTGGGGGTGGTATGTGGTGGGTGAGAATGATCTGTAATGTCTCCCAGCCTCCCTCAACTATTGCTGGCTACCTAAGCAACAAGGAGCTGAAAACTACTTCACTAAAGTAAGTGCTTCAAATGAGAGAAGGAGTAGAACTGAATGTGGAGGGCAAAGTGCTGGATATGATTACTCCCCTTAAGGCACAGGACTCTATGCTGATAAAAAATCGTGGTAGTAATGCTTTTTATCTTGCTGGGAAGATAAGGGGTTCCTCAGAAAACCTCTTGCCGAAGTCTTGTTGACACATACTAACAGTATTTATTATTATTCCAATGTTGGCTAAAATGGGCTAGGAGTAGATAGTAACTCTATATTACAGGCATCTATCAATCTATTAATAGGAGCCATACTATTTCCCAGAGCCTTCCTGAAAAGGACAAAATATTCCACTTGCCAAAATAGGTAGTTGGAACTGACAGAATATAAAACAAGCTGATGACTCACTCATTTATTTCTTGTGTCTCAGAAAAAGAAGTGTATATCTCTGCATTCCTGCTTTGTTTTTTCCCCACCTCACCTCTTCAAGCCTCTGTGTGTTTTCAGCTGCATTTGTGGCAGATTACTACATTCCTGTCAAGATACTTTATTCTCAACAGTTTGATTAATATCTTTTAATATCCTGTTTTCAACCTCCTGTATTGACTCTTACAGCATGAATATAAGACCCCTCCAGACATGACTTCTGTGAATCTAGGATGACAGAAATCTTTTGGGAAAATGACAAATGCCAGGTAGGATTTAGACTACCTAGACTTTTGATAGTTGGAGGAAAAAGATGAGAATGGGAAAGTGGTCATTTCACTGTCTTAAGGGGAACCCACTTACCAGCAGCAAGGGCACCCATACAGAACAGCTGTGCACATCTGCCAGAAAGTATTCGATAACAAGCAGTGCTCCTCGCACAGTATATACCTAGAACAAATGCCCAACCTGGTGTCATATCTGACAAGTATCCAAACCAGCTAGTCTGGGGGAGGATGTGGGAACTGTACTGGGGGAAAACGGGAATTTAAAACTGAATTTTTAATGGGTGGGAATCAGGGCTACGGTATCTCTGGGATTCTCTGAGGTAAGTCTGCCACTGATGCCTTGTATGATTCCCTCATAGCTCCCTGGTATGATTTCAAGGTACTTCTAGAAGAACATAAACATGCCTGAGAAGGCTTTCAGGCCATTGATGTAAAAGCATTTCTGGAAGCCAAATCACACTCCACAGCCCTCAGTGAATTTAACAGTTGTCATAGTGCCATACACTCGGAACTTGCTGTTGACAGAACCCATAGCCTTCTGCCTTCACACCCTAAGCTACTGCTATTGAGAAGCTTCAAGATCTGTTAACCTATGGCTTGTGGACTGGATCTGGCCTGCAGAGTCATTTGATCTGGCCTGTGGATGTGGGGCTTTGGCAGTTTTTTGTGGCAGGTGGCTTTAGGGGTGGGACTGTCCCTGTGCAACTGCAAGGACAAGTGATGGC